TTTCCCGCCCAAGTCCGCCCCCCCCCCCCCCCCCCGGTGAAGGCCAGCCAGCATACACCCAAAAACCTGAGCATGCGTTGCCAGGAACCCCATACCATTACTATGGTGGTCACCGGACAAATACCCCGTTACTTTAATTGGTTTGCCAGTGGGGAAATGCCCCCTTAGATTGGTGGTAAGTAGAGAAATACCCCTTTACGTTGCTGGTCAGTGGATAAATGCCCCCTTACATTGGTGGTCGGTAAAGATATGCCCCTGTAAATTGCTGGTCGTTGAAAAAATACCCCTTTACATTGCTGGTCAGTGGACAAATTGCCCCCTTGCATTAGTAGTCATTGTCGGTGGGAGATCACTTCTCATGGAACCCCTTAGCAACCTCTGGAGGAGTCTTAGGGTTCCATGGAACCCCGATTTGAGAAATCCTGGTGTAGAGGTTCCCTTGTTCCTACACTACAGATCCCGTCCTACAAACGTTTCTTCTGCCCGGAGGCTGCTTTTCCATTAGGTTAGGACAGAACAAGTGTAAATGCCCCCTTACACTGGTTATCACAGAGGACAAATGCCCCCTTACATAGGTTGTCACAGAGGACAAATGCCCCCTTACACCGGTTATCACATTGGACAAATGCCCCCTTACACTGGTTATCACAGAGGACAAATGCCCCCTTACACTGGTTATCACAGAGGACAAATGCCCCCTCACATTGGTTATCACAGAGGACAAATGCCCCCTTACATAGGTTGTCACAGAGGACAAATGCCCCCTTACACCGGTTATCACAGAGGACAAATGCCCCCTTACACCGGTTATCACATTGGACAAATGCCCCCTTACATTGGTTGTCACAGAGGACAAATGCCCCCTTACACTGGTTGTCACAGAGGACAAATGCCCCCTTACACTGGTTGTCACAGAGGACAAATGCCCCCTTTTATTGCTGGTCAGTGGACAAATGCCCCCTTACACTGGTTGTCACAGAGGACAAATGCCCCCTTTTATTGCTGGTCAGTGGACAAATGCCCCTTTGCAGTAGTGACCCTGTACATCGAACGTCAATGGGAAATTGCCCCCTTGCATTGTAGGTGGGTGATTACTTCTCATGGAACCCCAGTTGAGAAATCCTGGTGTAGAGGTTCCCTTGTTCCTACACTACAGATCCCGTCCTACAAACGTTTCTTCTGCCCGGAGGCTGCTTTTCCATTTTTCAGCAATCAATCCTTTTGTCAGGGCTGGAAATGAGAAGGGCCCGGCGAGAGAATTGAGCAACCTCACCCAGAGGACACGTCTCGGAGGAAGGTGACCTCGGGATGAATGGACCTTCGGCTCAGCATGGTGCATCCCTCGACCAGCGCCGAGACCGGGTGGGAAGTCACTGCGGGCAAACACAAGGATCAGTGGCGGGGGCCCCGGGGGCCCGATTCACTCAGCACGGGTAGAAGGTGGACAATAAAATATCAAAAAATGGTTATAAGTTGTCCGACTCGAGATATCCCAAAAAATGGACGACATCGAAACTCCTACATCAAACGCTGAATAAACACAATGTATACATATACCTGGGACGAGGGATACGAGGTTTCCACTGCACCGGGAGGGGGGAGGGGGAGGTCTCTTTATATCATTTAAATAAATTGTATTCGGTCTTTTTTTGTTGCTTAAGTCTTAAATTTTGGAGATAATTTTTACACTATATTGCCGAATGTATTGGGACGCCTTTACACGCACATGAACTTTAATGGCATCGCAGTTTTAGTCCGTAGCGTTCAGTATTGGGTTGGCTCCGCCCTTTGCCGCTATAACAGCTCCGCCTCTTCTGGGAAGGCGTCCACAAGGTTTAGGAGAGTGTCTATGGGAATGTTGGACCATTTGTGAGGTCAGGTACTGATGTTGGGGGAGGGGCTCACAGTCTCCGCTCTAATTCATCCCAAAGATGTTCTATGGGGCTGAGTTCAG